AATGTGCTGGTCGTGTAAAGGTTATAGCTTGGAGAGGAGATGGGTGTCGCCATGCTATCTGAAAGCACAGTGAAAGGATCATAAGAAGGAAGAATCAAAGCAACATCATGCCGGATCAACAGATCAGCCTGGATGAGGTTGTCGGTTTGTTCTGCTTTGCCCCAACCTCACGATATGAGCCGTCGTAGAACTGATGATGATGATGATGATATTGATGATTGTAGAAAAATTGCCATATGCATCATTTTACTTGTAAGTCATTTTGAAAAAATATTGCTCCACTGAGTAGCGGCAGGATACGTTTTCTCCACTCTTGTCGACCTCTCTACCCGGCGACAGAGAGAAACCAAGACGAGGCTATGCCCCACGTAAAAAAAAATACCGAGTAGTGACAGTCTGTTTAATGCGTGATTAACGCAGTTTTCTGCGTTTAAACATGAAACAGCCTATCGCCACTCTGTGTTGTTTTCAGTGTCTACACACGGTCTATCCCTGATATTTATCTCTCTTACCCATAAATATAGCATACCTTAAAATCATATTTTTATTATATATATATATAGAGAGAGAGAGAGAGACATCATTTGATTATAGTGATGAAGACTTATGTAGAACCAACCACACATTTTGTATCCTTCTCCAACCAAGACTATGGAACCCAGTCGGTACTGCTATTTTATTTCCCCATTGCTGGGGGAGAAGAAGAGGATCCCAAGGGTAATGGATTCGACTGGAATTCGAACTCGGCTCTCTGATTCCTCAATCCGAGTCGCTTATCCATTACTCCGCCGTACCTGTTGAGGTTTCTGTAGCAAAATAAGTTTAAGAGTTTTCCTTCTCCTTGATTGGTTGCCAACCAAAGCCAGACAGTCCAGTCCATTCTGCCCTTTAATAACATATAGTTAGTGAGAAAAGAGATGGATTCATACCTTACCCTTGGGTGTTTGTGCAAAATCGAACGCCACGACCTCGGTATGAATTTGAACTCAGCACTCCTGTATTAAAGATAACCGCAATACTACACGCACACCCATGTAGAAACAATGCTGGTGAGAGGAAATTCCTTTAATACCCTTTTCTATAATATTTTTACAGTTACATGTTTTTCTTTTATTTATTATTAGTAACTCTTATTACACGCTAGATTTATAGGTTCTAACGTCAATTTTGTGTTACGTCTAAATCCTACGAGGGTATTTAAAAAAGTAACGTGAGTCGTTATTAAAGCGATTTGTTAAAGAATAACCAAAAATTGGCTCAAAATGGTACTAAGGGTGTTTATATATTTTAGCAAATAATATCAACCCCTAGTAGAAGTTTAAACTGTAAGGTGGAACTGAGAATTAAAAGTGATACTCGAAATACTGCATTATGTTTTTACAACGTTCTAAAAATGGAAAATGGATACATGTCCGTAAGAACTGTTTAAAAGAGAACAAAACACTGTAAATAAAAATGGACGACTGTTTAAACATGGAGGGAAGCCTTATTCAATATCATTTGACTACTACCCAAAAGTGAAGCTCGAGCATTTCTTTTATAATCGAATAGTTTGAAAGGGAGTTAACTACAGTTGCCTTCACTACATTAGTATTTGTTTATTGGATGTAATAATGTAAGCGGGGAACGTCGCTGGCTCGCAGTCGTGTGTTCTCCATTTTCTTTAAGATGAGCAAAACCGTTCGACAGCCTTGCTGATAGGGTTCTAGCTAATAAGAATCTAACAATTCATTAACACCGTGAATTCGATCTACATGAGATGTTTCAAACTTGTCTTGTACGAAACTAAAGTAAACGTTGGAAATAATTTCTCATAGCAAATCGATAGTTGTAAAGAAAAACAGACAAACGTTTAACCTTGTAGGAAAGCTTCATTCAATGCATTTTGACTACTGCCCGTGAGGTGCGATCATTTGTTTTATAGTAGAGCAGTTTAAGGGGGAGACAACTATGATTGCCTTCACCACAAATACTATCACAAATATGCTAAATGCGAAAGCCCTTGTCTACCCTCTAGGTGGAATCCATCTTCAGACTGGATACGTATGGACTTGAGTGTTTTGTCTATCATTTCGACTATAATGAAAAGCAGTCTTATTTATAGTTTATGCGTCTAGGGTAAAGTAGACAACAGATTATCTTTTAGAGTCTAAAGCAAAGCCCACTTATTTTGATTCGAGTGTAAAGCGGACCTATGTTTACCTTATCGACTCATCTAAAAAAACACTACCTATGTTTACCTACCTATTCATTCATTGTGATTATCTCCTGTAAGACATTAACCCATAATAAATTAACCAACCTAAACTATTTTCACGTATTATAGAGGGAACATTAGGTAAAATAAAGATAATCACGATTAATAATCACATTAATAAGGATATTTATTATTGTTCTTCTTATTAATCATTATTAATAGTCATTACTACAATTATTAGCAATAATGATATCTTTATAAATTCTTTCATTAATATAGTTACGATTGCTGACTAGTTTTGGCACAAGGATACAAACTTGGATGAGCTAGGGAGGATAGAAATCAGCACACAATTGTAATGATATACCTGGCCAGCTTACTAACCATTAGCCCAGAAGACCCCTTAGTTAAATAGTATATAGAGATAAAGCTTGGGCTAATACATAAGTAAAGACCAAATGTGTTACAGTTTTTTGGATACTTATTTGTACTAGTGAGCCAACAAAAATGAGCTGACTCATTTTATAGTCCAACAAGAGAAGGGTTAACCAATCAGAAAGTTCAAAATATTCAATCCGACGTGTATAAAGGCAGCCATCTTGTTTTTTCTCCAAAAATATCTTCACTGCCAACGTCTGATATCGAAGACCTGAAAAATTACTTAACAGCTGTTACTTTCTCAGAATCTTCACTGCCAACCTCTGACATCGAAGACCTGAAGAATTACAGAACAACTGCTACTAGTGATATTGGCGTTGTTCCATTGAACACATTACGTACAACACTAGATTCTATATTCAAAGACTACGGCAAACATGGTCAACAAAATGTACTGTCTATAGTACCATTTTATTGTTAACTCCATTTCGTTACAGTGGTTAAAATGGGTGACTATTGTCTTAGTTCTTTTGTGATTCAAGAGTTCATACGGGGTCGTTGTGTTTGTGTTGACAGAAATTAATTTGTTGAATTTATCCTTTCTTCTTTGCTTCTGGAATTGTACGTCCCGCCAAACTCACACCCGATGAATGTCCAACCCTTACGTCTCGAACTGCTACGTCGAACTAATTTCTCTACTTCTCTTTCCGCACGTATTTATTTTTCTTTTCATTTTGCCTGACACATTTGTGTTTTCCGTTTGATTTTGGGCGGGCATGTTGCGGTTATTTGATTTTTTTATGACGTTTACTGACCCACATAAGCTATGTCCAGGTTCTGTCAGTTACCGAGGATAGGAACAATAGTAGGAGAGAAAGAAAGTATGTGTAATAGAGAAGAGAGAGAGAATTTTCTTTGTCACTCTCTTAGTGAAAAGGAAATTATATATTTTCATATGGTGTTACTACTACTTAATACTACTACAGTTATTTACTTAGCTTAGTTTCAAGCAAAACTGAAAGTGCAGGGTACCCGGTATGGCTATGACTTGCTACATTAGTTCGAGTACCATTTTAGGTTAGTTTAGTATCTATTTTATATATTAGGTATGGTATTGCAGAAAAATTACGATTTTGTAATGTTTCTACAAGGCTACGTAAAAATTATCCGTACATTCATCATACCATAACTTTTTGTTTGTCACACCGCCTTCTGTTCATGCGTGCTTATAGTTGATACTATTGTGACTACTTGATCAGAGTTTGAGCTCGATTGCGCCAGTTTTCTTGCTGCTGTTACAGTGTAAACCTGGTCGATCCGCTAGCAGTGTGCACCAAGAAGGAACAAAGAAAAGTGATGCAATTTTTCAGATCGGAAGGTGTATCAGGGGCTGAATTTGTTCGGAGGCTTTTTAACGCAATACGGCGACAGTGCACAACAGCGTAGAAGTGAGTATGAGTTAATCGGAAAGTTTAAAAGTGACCGGATATGAGTGACGCACGAAGAAGGAGCAGGACGACCGCCAACCTCCACCACTGATGAGAAGATTCAGCAAGCTCGTGGGATGGTAATGGCGAATCATTTAGTTATCATCAATAAGGTAGTATGTTTTCTACAAATTCAGACCCCTGCTCTTTGTTCCTCCTTGGTGCACACTGCTAGCAGAGCGGCCATGTTTACACTGTAACAGCAGCAAGAAAATAGGCACTATCAAGCTAATACTTCGATCCCATGACCACACTAATATCAACTATAAGCGCGCATGGGCAGAAGGCTGGGTGAGAAACCTAAAGACATGTTATGGTGAAAATGCGGATAATTTTTGACTTACCATCGTATGTTGATAAAACCCACTGATATAGATATTTCTAATGGCCTGGATCTTTTTGTTTTAAATGATTTCTCCCTTCAGTGTAAAGTTTCAAATACATTTACTTTGTTGATATAAGATATCTTTATTTTGCTTAATGTACTCACTTAGACGGAAGATTTCGATTCTGTGCCATTTTATCGTTGCCAAAGTTTGTCATTTTTTTCTTTTCTTTCTTTAAGATCGTAAGATAAAATCATAAAGTCTGCTACGTCAAATTAACCCGTTTTCAAGATAGAAGATCAGTTTATTTCTTTTAATTTCCACTTAACTTGGCACAATGAATTGATGCCATCAGGACTCTCACGACAGTGTCTTGTTTTTGTGGGGACGTGGTATAATATTCCGCAGCGTTCATAATATCCAATAACATCTTTCGGCATGGATCATTCTTCCGATCCTAAAATGCCAATTTCAAAATCAAAATGTGAAGACTTTCATCTGGATGTCCTACCCAACAGCTGGGTTTGCTTATTCTCATTAACGATATCTAATTGAGCAGAAAAGAGTCTTTTTATAATGCCCCCCCTTCATCTCTCTCTCTCTCTCTTTTAATTAGAGAGATGCAACGCCTTCGAGGATGGACCTTTCAGGCAGGCACAAGAGATGCAACGCCTTCGAGGATGGACGTTTCAGGCAGGCACAAGAGATGCAACGCCCTTGAGGATGGACATTTCGGGCAGGCACAAGAGATGCAACGCCATTGAGGATGGACGTTTCGGGCAGGCACAAGAGATGCAACGCCTTCGAGGATGGACGTTTCAGGCAGGCACAAGAGATGCAACGCCCTTGAGGATGGACGTTTCTGGCAGGCACAAGAGATGCAACGCCTTCGAGGATGGACGTTTCAGGCCGGCACAAGAGATGCAACGCCCTTGAGGATGGACGTTTCGGGCAGGCACAAGAGATGCAACGCCTTCGAGGATGGACGTTTCAGGCAGGCACAAGAGATGCAACGCCTTTGAGGATGGACGTTTCGGGCAGGCACAAGAGATGCAACGCCTTCGAGGATGGATGTTTCAGGCAGGCACAAGAGATGCAACGCCCTTGAGGATGGACGTTTCGGGCAGGCACAAGAGATGCAAGGCCTTCGAGTATGGACGTTTCGGGCCGGCACAAGAGATGCAACGCCCTTGAGTATGGACGTTTCGGGCAGGCACAAGAGATGCAACGCCTTCGAGGATGGACGTTTCGGGCCGGCACAAGAGATGCAACGCCCTTGAGGATGGACGTTTCGGGCAGGCAAAGAGATGCACATCCTTCGAGGATGGAGGTTTCAGGCAGGCCAAGAGATGCAACGCCCCTTGAGGATGGACGTTTCGGGCAGGCACAAGAGATGCAACGCCTTCGAGGATGGACGTTTCAGGCAGGCACAAGAGATGCAACGCCTTTGAGGATGGACGTTTCGGGCAGGCACAAGAGATGCAACGCCTTTGAGGATGGACGTTTCGGGCAGGCACAAGAGATGCAACGCCTTCGAGGATGGACGTTTCAGGCAGGCACAAAAGATGCAACGCCTTCGAGGAGGGACGTTTCAGGCAAGCACAAGAGATGCAACGCCTTTGAGGATGGACGTTTCGGGCAGGCACAAGAGAGGCAACGCCTTCGAGGATGGACGTTTCGGGCAGGCACAAGAGATGCAACGCCCTTGAGGATGGACATTTCGGGCAGGCACAAGAGATGCAACGCCTTCGAGGATGGACGTTTCAGGCAGGCACAAGAGATGCAACGCCCTTGAGGATAGACGTTTCGGGCAGGCACAAGAGATGCAACGCCTTCGAGGATGGACGTTTCAGGCAGGCACAAGAGATGCAACGCACTTGAGGATGGACGTTTCGGGCAGGCACAAGAGATGCAACGCCTTCGAGTATGGACGTTTCAGGCAGGCACAAGAGATGCAACGCCTTTGAGGATGGACGTTTCGGGCAGGCACAAGAGATGCAACGCCTTCGAGGATGGATGTTTCAGGCAGGCACAAGAGATGCAACGCCCTTGAGGATGGACGTTTCGGGCAGGCACAAGAGATGCAACGCCTTCGAGGATGGACGTTTCAGGCAGGCACAAGAGATGCAACGCCTTTGAGATTGGACGTTTCGGGCAGGCACAAGAGATGCAACGCCTTCGAGGATGGACGTTTCGGGCCGGCACAAGAGATGCAACGCCCTTGAGGATGGACGTTTCGGGCAGGCAAAGAGATGCAACGCCTTCGAGGATGGACGTTTCAGGCAGGCACAAGAGATGCAACGCCCTTGAGGATGGACGTTTCGGGCAGGCACAAGAGATGCACCTCCTTCGAGGATGGAGGTTTCAGGCAGGCCCAAGAGATGCAACGCCCTTGAGGATGGACGTTTCGGGCAGGCACAAGAGATGCACCTCCTTCGAGGATGGAGGTTTCAGGCAGGCCCAAGAGATGCAACTCCCTTGAGGATGGACGTTTCGGGCAGGCACAAGAGATGCAACGCCTTCGAGGATGGACGTTTCAGGCAGGCACAAGAGATGCAACGCCTTTGAGGATGGACGTTTCGGGCAGGCACAAGAGATGCAACGCCTTTGAGGATGGACGTTTCGGGCAGTCACAAGAGATGCAACGCCTTCGAGGATGGACGTTTCGGGCAGGCACAAAAGATGCAACGCCTTCGAGGAGGGACGTTTCGGGCAGGCACAAGAGATGCAACGCCTTTGAGGATGGACGTTTCAGGCAGGCACAAGAGAGGCAACGCCTTCGAGGATGGACGTTTCGGGCAGGCACAAGAGATGCAACGCCTTCGAGGATGGGCGTTTCGGGCAGGCACAAGAGATGCAACGCCCTTGAGGATGGACACTTCGGGCAGGCACAAGAGATGCAAAGCCTTCGCGGATGGACGTTTCGGGCAGGCACAAGAGATGCAACGCCTTTGAGGATGTACGTTTCGGGCAGGCACAAGATATGCAACGCCTTCGAAGATGGACGTTTCGGGCAGGCACAAGAGATGCAACGCCTTCGAGGATGGACGTTTCGGGCAGGCACAAGAGATGCAACGCCTTCGAGGATGGACGTTTCGGGCCGGCACAAGAGATGCAACGCCTTTGAGGATGGACGTTTCGGGCAGACACAAGAGATGCAACGCCTTCGAGGATGGACGTATCGGGCAGGCTCAAGAGATGCAACGCCTTTGAGGATGGACGTTTCGGGCAGGCACAAGAGATGCAAGACCTTCGAGGATGGACGTTTCGGGCCGGCACAAGAGATGCAACGCCTTTGAGGATGGACGTTTCGAGCAGGCACAAGAGATGCAACGCCTTCGAGGATGGACGTTTCAGTCAGGCACAAGAGATGCAACGCCTTTGAGGATGGACGTTTCGGGCAGGCACAAGAGATGCAACGCCTTCGAGGATGGACGTTTCGGGCAGGCACAAGAGATGCCACGCCTTCGAGGATGGACGTTTCAGGCAGGCACAAGAGATGCAACGCCTTCGAGGATGGACGTTTCAGTCAGGCTCAAGAGATGCAACGCCTTGAGAATGGACGTTTCGGGCAGGCACAAGAGATGCAACGCCTTTGAGGATGGACATTTCGGGCAGGCACAAGAGATGCAACGCCTTCGAGGATGAACGTTTCGGGCAGGCACAAGAGATGCAACGCCTTTGAGGATGGACGTTTCGGGCAGGCACAAGAGATGCAACGCCTTTGAAGATGGACGTTTCGGGCAGGCACAAGAGATGCAACGCCTTTGAGGATGGCTGTGACACGAGATATGCAACGCGTTTGAGGATGTAAGAGACACGAGATGTGCAACGCCTTTGAGTTTGGACGTTTCAGACAGGCTCAAACATGATCTTCGAGCAGGCTCCCACACTCATTTGTTAATTAATATCAACTCTTGGAAATGTGGTGTGTGCGAGAGCGTATGCTGTTGTCAAGGGCAAGTTATGTCAACCATCTGAAAGGTGATCATAACAACCAAAAGCAAACATACTATGCCAACTTGACTCATCGTTCTGCTTACAATACCTGTGTTCTTTGTAACAAGGCTTGCAAATCATCATCTGGACTGAGAGGCATTTACACACACTCACACACACACACACACACACACACACACACACACACACACACACACACACACACACACACACACACACACACACGGTGGAGTAATGGATAGCTGCTCGGATTGAGGAATCAGACGGCTGAGTTCGAATTCCAGTGCTAATACTCTTCGGAAAAGATATTAATCCTATTTCTCTCACTCCAGCTATGTGTAAATAGCAGGGCAGATTGGGTTCTATAGCCTTGGATGACAACTGGTCAAGAAGAAGGATAATTCTGAATTCAAAATCTGCAGAATTTTGTTTGGGGACCTTGTGGCATGTAGTGCACCAAGTCTCTGTATTCAGTCCTTCAAAAAGTGTAGTTGGTTCTGCACAAATTATTCACCACTATAATCAAATCATATGTACTGGTGTCTATCTGCCGGTTCTTAGCTGCTTGACCCTCATACATCGAATACGACGGGAGAGTCCACATATATATATATATATATATATATATATATATATATATATATATATATATTTGTAAATTGCTGATACCCACTGAAGAGTGGACGGAGAGGTCCCTCCACGAAACTCTGAATTCGGGATGCTGAAGATAACATTAATCATCCAAGTGACAAACTCTGTCTCAGTCTCTGCCTCTCTCACTCTCTCTCTTTCTTTCTTTCCTTCTCTCTCTCTCTCTCTCTCTCTATATATATATATATATATAGTGTGTGTGTGTGTGTGGCTTTAAAATCATTCTCTTTATGCGTCAATAAATATCACCAGTCTTATTCCCAATATTGTCCTTTTTGTTGGTTTTTTAGTCCTCAAATTTAATTAACTAGGCTAATAAATCTACATCCAGCCTTCCCTGACGATCCGCTAGGGTGAACACTTGGTAGGTTTGTTTGGCTCCCTAGGTTTAACTAGGTCTGCTCTACTCATTGTATTGAGCACTTTATTTAGTTATTTTGCCGACTCGCATCGGGTTTTTTTGGGGGCCTTGAACTCGTATGCTGAACGATTATTTTCGGTTAACGTACATGTTCTTGGTTCTTTCTTTTTTTCCCCCTTTGGTGTTGGCTTGTTATTTGCAAATCAATACAACGAAGGTTTTCGGAGCTAGTATAGTTTCTTATACTTATAAGATTTCTATTAATAACACACACACACACACACACACACACACATACACATACACATACACACATATATATATATATATCTTTTTGCTCCTTGCACTATTTTCTCGGTAACCAAGAAGATGTTTAGTTATCACAACTTGTCGTTGGTGTGGGAATTCTAGTTACAGTCAGCATTCCAACGGGCTTGGTTTATGGATGTGTAGTTAATGTACTGGATAGCGGCTCACAATGAGAAATCGTAGAGCCGAGTTCGAATTCCATTTAAATGGGTTATATTCACTTATACGCAAACAACCCTCAGAAGAGTACGAGTTTATCACTCTACTCCAGAGAGCCTCTGAAGGTAGTGGAATATTGTTAAAATATTTATGATTTTAGTATTCAGCAAAGCATCCACGTGGGATTCTATTTTATAAAGTAGCAGTTCTTTGGAAAAAACGCTGTCTGGTTAGAACATTCTACTTAAATTTATATATACGGTAGAAATTTGAATGATTCGACTATAAAACTGTAAAACTATTGAAATACTATCATTATCTGCTAAAAGCAGTCTGTACTTTCGTGTGCTTGTAAAATTAGCGATACCTTTGTTGTATAAATATCTTTTTATTCTACATCAGGGCCATTTTAGAGTGGCATTGCGTGGCATACCAGGCTCTTTCGTTTTGGTTTTTATGTGCCTCACCTACCTCTCCAGTACATCGATTCGCCTTTCTCTTCTAAATGCAGAACTAATTCGGTTCATATAAGATATCAGTTAATCCTTAAGTCAGCCAACGACCCATTCGTATCGGAAAAAAGATATGTTTCCTTAATCCGATGATGGAACAATTAAAGTCTAATCTAGTTGGTCATTTAATCCAGAAGAAAAGTGAACACTGAGTGGTCTAAAGTGAAACACAGAAGAAAAGAAATTATATATATATATATATATATATGTATATATATATGTATATAAGCGATGTCAAAGTTAGCATGAAACCAAAAATGCTGACAGTCAATGGGATATTGAGAGAAAAGACATTTAAGGCAAGCAGTCTTTGCAATACAGTGCTCGATATTACAGGTAGAGCCTTAAATTGATTAAACAGAGAGTAAATTGGACACATGTCACAGTGCATAAAGTCTCTTAAGGATAGTTGTGAGTTCAATACCCGGTTAAGGCAGTGGAGAACTTGGAGAGGTGGATTTACAGGAGATAACTGATAACTGACATCCATTAGACATTGCACGTGGAACTAGAACAGTCTACCCCAGTGAGCGAAATAAAGGGTCCAGTTCGACATTCCAACCACCTGAAGAAGGCCGTAGCGTACAACGGCCGAAACGTTGTGATAAATATGGCAACAAAGATGAGAAAAATAGTCCGAATAATATAAATAGTGTACATAATACCTCATCTTAGAAACATAGATAGATACTGAAAGGCCGAAACGTTGTAATAAATATGGCGACAAAGATGAGGACAATAATCCAAATAATGTAAATAGTGTACATAATACCTCATCTCAGAAATATAGACAGATACTGAAAGGTCGAAACGTTGTAATAAATATGGCAACAAAGATGACACCATTCTGAATAATGTAAATAATGTACATAACACCTCATCTCAGAAATATAGACAGTTTACTAATATTGCTGGGAAAGCCGGGCGTCGAATGTTATGAAATATACTACAACTTATCTGATTATAATGACGAAGGACAGTGCAGAAGCAAACACACTTTTCATAAGAACCGAATACTCAGAACTGTTGCATTTAACATCGCCACAAGGTCTCCAAGCGACCATACTCAGCTTTTAAATTGTTGTCCTTTCCCTAGATTCGTCGCCAACCAAGCCTAAAAAGTTTAGCTCTACTGTTTGACCCTTAGCAAGGGGTAGACGAAAAGCTAGATTTATACATTTCCCAAGAATATTTTGCGCTTTCGAATGTATCGAACTCAGCTAGAATTTGACTATCCGATTTCTAATTTCGAAACGCTATCCATGACACCACCGTCACATCGATACATAGGGTTGCGATGGGTAAGTTGCCGCCATTTTATATCTTTAATTTCGCGCATGCGCGATGTTTGTTTTTGATTTTGTCGACTGCACAGTATAGTAGAGTCAATTGTTAGAAAAAGAGCACCATCACGCAATTCACTCCGCAAGAAATTTGGAATCGGCATGCTGCACTGCTTGTATTTCGCACCGGGACCTCCAATACACGAACATTTCAAAGTGATTAGGTGTCAATCTGAAGACAGTGCAGAGGGTCCCTAAAGAGCTGGATGAGTCTAATGGTGATTACGAAGCTGTCTGTAGTGATCACTAGTGTTGGTAACGTTATGCTTCCATTCATCTTCCCAGAGGACGTCAGACTCAACACGGAAGCCTGGATCAAGAAGATGGCTGCTTGAAGAACCTATGTCTGGCAACAGGACTTTGCACCATGCTACAAAAGCAGGAGAACCCAGTTATAGCTGTCAGACAATTTCTGCAACCACATCACCTCTTACATCTGGTCACCTGACTCACTAGACTGCAACACCTTGATTATTACGTCCTTAGTATCAAGAACATGTTTCTTTCATTTTCTTTGGTTTTAATATGTCCGTTTTTATTACAATATCTATCTATCTATCTATCAACAAATATTAATTATTAACTTAAAGATGTAAATCGAAAAAAAGCCTAAATCAGTGGTCTGGCCGATGTCAATATTACGAGCTGAAAGGGGACGTTTAAGAATAAATTTGTATTGATTTTACTGTAAATATTTTGCATTTCTGTATAAATACTTCCTTTTAATAAGCGGTTACTGTTTTGTTTTTGTTTGCGACAATTAGAAAATTGACGCGATTTTTTTTTAATCCTCGTGAATATTCAACAGATTTTCTCAACAACCAAATTTCAATTTTCAGGGGAAACTATGCCCCCTCTCATTTCTTTCGATTTGCCGATAATGGAAGCAGAAAATAGCCACTATTACCATTAATAAATCCAAATTAGAGTTGCTATAATTTTTGACTCTCCAACTAGCGAATTGTTTGTGAGAAATGCAAAGATTCAATTTTCATTCTGGAAACGATTCACTTAAAATAGCAATGGTTTTTTTATGGAGAAGCCATATCTGACTTTTTGATGTAATGTTAATGCTTGTAATCTGGTTCGGTTTGCTTTATTTTGTTTTACGGCATGTCAACCACAATGGGTTATTTAATGCCGACAATTTTTATTGCTGGTAATATTTTTCTTCATAAATGTATTACTGATATTTTTTGTCCTTCAAAATTGTATTGCTGGTAATATTTTTTTTCTATTTCTGGTAATATTTTTTCTTCAAAAATGTATCGCTGGTAATATTTAAAAAAATGTATAGCTAGTATTTTTTTTTTCAGAAAAGGTATAGCTGATAATAGTTTTTTTAAATGTATAGTTTTTTGTTTTGTTTTACGGCATATCAACCTCATTGGGTTTTTTAATGCCAACAAGATTTTTATTACTGGTAATATTTTTAAAAAATGTATTGCTGGTAATAATGTAATGCTGGTTATAATTTTTTTCTTCAAAAATTCATTGCTCGTAATAATTTTTGCAAAAATGTATTGCTGGTAGTAAAACCTATTTTTACACTTTCATAGTGTTTTAACCCTAGTTTGGGGGTTAACTATTCACCCATAGCCGGGACCCTAACAGGTGCTACCAACCCGGGTCAGGGTGGATCTGGGAACCCCAGAAATTAAGAGGTGGTTTCACGCTCCTCAAAACCTCCTGATCAGAGGCCTTGTTGTTGGACGTACTTTATCGTCTTACCCAAGAAGCGGATGTAGTTTATAGTTTTCCCCTGAACGCGGATGTAGTTTATCCTCTTACCCAGGACGCGGATGTAGTTTATAGTCTTACCCAGGACGCGGATGTAGTTTATCGTCATACCCAGGAAGGGCTTGTAATCTGTCACATACACGTTTGTTCAGCACAACACTATAGAGTCTTCTCTGAGAATGAGCATTTGCTTTTCTTTTGTTATTATTTTGAGTTGTGAAACATTTTTCTTGGAAATTGACACTCAGACACTCACCATTTTTTGTACAATCTATATCACTCAATAATTCGCTATGGTAGTTACGGTAGACACGTCTTCTCGTAGGCAGAAAGAAGGAGATGAAGATTATATACCTGTCTATATTTCTGAAATGAGGTATCGTAACTATTTACATTATTTACATTGTTCGGACTGTTGCCCTCATCATTATTGTCATATTCACGACGTTTCAACCGTTGTACGCTGAGACCTTCTTCAAGATCTGTCTATTTTTCTGAGATGAAGTATTGTAATTATTTACACTATTTACATTGTCCGGACTATCTTTATTGTCATTTTCAAGACGTTTCTGCCGTTGTACGCCCCGGTCTTCTTCAGATGATATACGTTGGAATTTCGAACCGAATCCTTTATTTCATCCACCGGAGTAGATTGTTCTATTTCCATGTGCCATGCCTTTTTCTGGATATCTTAGTTTCAGTTATTTCCCATTAGTAACTCAACTCTCCAATTTTTTGTTCACCTCTGCTCTGGCCAGGTAGTGTATTTTGAGTCAAGTGACTGCATTCAACGAAAGCCTTTATCCACTGGGTCCTGTGGACTAAGTTTTTTAAGTAAAATCAAGGTAAATACTCTAAAAAGTTCACAGCTACAACGATGATTACATGCCGGAATATTGCACCGATAAACCGGTACTCCGGGTTCAACGAATTAATTATTTAAACGAATAACGCTTTACATAGTTCGTCTAACTCTATAATTAAAATCTAATTGCTGTAGTAGTTTAGTACACTACTCGAAAAGAAATTATAAACGTGTCAAGAATGAAGTTAGAATGAATTTTCTTTAATTTCTCTGTTAACTAAGCCATTACAAATGATAATTGTAAATGATAATAAACCCATAGAAGAATTATTTCAAGGAATTTCTATATGTTAATTAGTTCTGCTTTTCTTTATGTCACCATTTAATTGCTTTTTTTCGCTTGAATAACAAAAACCTGGCCTGTAAAAATAAAATCTCAATCTATTAAATAAAACCCGAGATATTTTTATCATTATTTTAATTATTTCCCTAAACGCAAAATTAAATTGATTTTTGTTTTCATTACAGTTGCCCATTGTAACAATTCTCAGCTGGGTCATCGAACTTAGAATTATTAGATGTGTATAAGTCATCAAATTTAAAAAAAAAAAAAAAAGAAGCAAAATCATGGTTTTATTTTCATTCAGTCTCTTCTATGTGTCGCATCGCTTCACGATCATGGCTCTCCACAATTTCCTATTCTTGCGATCCTCATCAGTTTTCTCTCTTTATTGAGCCTCCGCCCCCGTTCCGCTATCCATTCCCACAAGCAAGTAGATAGGTGGCTCGTTGCCTTTCTCTATCTCTCTTACTTTCAATATGCCTTGAGAGTGTTAAGTTTTCCAAGCTCCTCTTCTTCATTATGTGTTCAAGAAATTTCAGCTGTCTCTTCCTGATTTTGAGTGTAAGTGTTCTTTTTGTTGCTAAGACTTCCACCTTGCTTACTCATTCCGTCCGAGAATTCTCAGTATCCTTCTGTAGAACCACATTTCTGTTGCTTCCATAGGAAATTGTCCAGCATTAATTGCCATATAAGTAGATGGATATTACATAGCAATCCATCACTCTTTTCGTTGTTTCTAAG